CCCCCCCCCCCCCCCCCCCCCCCCAATTTTTATTTATTCCTACAAGTTGGTGTCCGTGTCCTGGACGTCATGTGACTCCGCATACGCAGATTGAAATGGAAACGGCGCACCCGATATGACAAGGATACGATGAAACGATGCCGCGTGGCGCCGTCGAGCGATCGATCGTCAGTCGACTGCCGGCGTTCGGTCGGCCGTTCCGTAACCCCGAAGGCGGCTAGGGTGCTCTGAGCACGTGCATTTAAATATTGCGGAGTCTCTCGATTGTCGCTCGCGCGAAGGGGGTGCTTCGTCGTCGCCTGGAAGAAGGGGGTATGTACCTAGAAGGAATTTTCTGGGGCTGAGGCAAGTCCATGCGAATCCAGTCCGTTTCAACGAGGCTTCTCCGAGAGGCGCACCACAGATCGATACGTCTTATCTCCGAGAAACACCGCGGAAAGAAAAAACATAAAAATATATTTAAAAGAACTTCACGTTCATTAAAAGATACTCCAGTAATTTAGAAGACTGCAGTTGTGAGAGGGGGGCCAGTGACGCCTCTCGCCATCGACAGGGGGCGCTAGCCCCCCCCCCCCCCCCCCCCCCCCCCCCCCCCCCCCCCCCCCCCCCCCCCCCCCCCCCCCNCCCCCCCCCCCCCCCCCCTGTCCAAATCCTCTCCAATGTCCACCCTCCAATCCACCGTCCAATCCACCCTCGGTAGTGCGGCTGACATTCACGTGCCCGATGGCCATATGGAGAGGGGGGTGAGACTCCGTGGGGCCATGTGCGGCTTTCGGGTCGACGCGATTCGCGTGTGAGGTGTTTCACGGTGGCCCGATTCGGAGATCGATGGGGTTGCCTGGATGCAGCTGAGTGCTCCGAGGACTAGGACGATTTCCAGGGGCGAGGGATAGGTCGAGTAGGCGGGTCATAGCCTTCGAGAGGTATTGGGTGTCAGATGCGTGCATGTCTGATTCGAAGTAAGGGAAGTGGATCTCGACATATTGTAAGCATAGGCCAGGCTAGTGATGGAGGGATCGAGAGTGAAATGGTGCTTAATCTGTAGGAGCGTTCTAGGGGCGATCCAGTAGCCAAATCGATAGATTGCATTGAAAAAGGGAGTGATCCCGTGCGAGACTTCGCGGCAGTCTAATCACAGGCATGGAGGGTCATCACATGCATCATGGTTCCATGATGAACAGCAGTGACATGTTGTCTTTGCCCATGATGAATGCGACTACTATGATGAACAGTTCTCAGGCTTCTGGCTGCAAAGGTTGCCACACCATGGACCATGGACACTCTCACAGCATGCAGAGGGAATCACACGATGGCCACACAGGGATGAGCATGGACATGATGCCAATGGTTGGTTGCTGTTCCTTCCTGTGTCAGTTCGTTCAGCTTGTTTTGCAGTTGCATCAGTCATTGAGGTTTTTCATTCCAGTATTTCCATTTCTCCAAGAGTGCCACCATTTTGTTTGAAAAGTGGGCAATAAACAATGCAGGTGGCCTCATAGGATCCATGATTGCCATATTCTTGATGGCAGTTATCTATGAAGGCCTGAAATACTACCGGTGAGTCTTGCATACAACAGACAACTGGCAGCCTAGCTTACAGCTTGAGGTCTTCAATAACTTGCTCTATGCTTTTCCTCAAGGGATTACTTGTTTCGAAGGGCATCCAATGCCATCGTGGGCTCAGTGAGTTCGACGGACTCCAAGGGCATCATCGTTCAACCGGCATCATCTGCAGAGTGAGTAGTGATTGCTGGGATTCTCTTCATGCAGTTTGCATGGTAAAAAGATGTCTCTTTTGCATAACATGTTCTTTGCTCCCTTATGCAAGTCAAAAGCAGCTATGTACCTATACTAAATTAATACTTGGAAAGAGATAAATGTGATGGAGGAGCTAAAGCTCCTTTAGAAGGAGCTTTGCATGCTTTGACATTTTTCTGGTGCTTGTAGTCATTCCATCATCTCTCATTGAACGTAACTTGTTTTCAACTCGGATGTGTGTCTAACTTCATGTTTCTTATCTGTTTATTTCCAAAATTTCTAGCATGAGAACTGGGTGTGAGTGAAAATTTTCATTTTTGAGATTTGCTTATATTCAGACCCAATCTGGTTTTTCATACTCAAAGTCATGGCATGAGTAATGATGCAGGCTATTTTCATTCAGAAAATGCAATGGTTGGGAAAAAAAGCAGTACAATGTGAAAATGCTTAAAGACCTAGACATGGGCCTATGTGGAAAATGAGGAATAGAAACATATTTCAACTGACAAGTCCTAGAAGCTCAGTATCTTTCCTTATAGAAGCCCATGTTGTAGTTTGTTTTGGACTTCAATGATGTATCAGTATTTTTCCTGCTGAATTGCATTTCTTTCCTGCAAGCATTGCTCTCTCTGCCATCTGCTATTGCTATCTCTTTGCTATCAGAATGTGGAAACTATAAAGGAATGTCAAATAAAACCTTGAGAATGAATGATTGGATGAGGAACTGCTTGTGGATTAATGCCACATATAATGTGGTGGTGGTGGTGATTATACAGCATTTTTCACCTGACTGACATCCATACATGGGTGTCAAAGTCAAGTGAAAAAGTGTCAGATTTGAGTGGAAAACACTGTATGAGGGCTTGAGCTGGTAACATGCACTTCTGCTTGGTTTTTTTTCCCGCTTCACAGGAATTTTGATGGCATCCCAGTTGCTGTTACAGCTATTCAGTGAGTTTCGGCATTCATCTTTGCTTCACAGCAAAAGCTTAAATGCATACTCTAGAGCCTCAATATTAACAAGGATACTTGTATTTGTCATCAGGTTAATATAATTTAATTTATGGGCTTCCTTGCTTTGCTTCTTAAGGACTACTGATCTGTAAATTTCCACATACCTTTTTGTATATCTTCCTGCAGTTTGTATTCACTGGTTGTACTGATTGGCACTGGTTTGTATTCACGCATTGGCAGCTTAGCCCTATATTACGCAATGTGGATTCAAAGCAACTTATCAGTTCTCTTGCCAAAAAAGTCTCTGTTGATCATGTTTGTTGCTGGCAGTGCATGCTATTGCTTCAAGGCAGCAAGCATAAACTGCTGTCATTCAGACATGCAGTTGCAAGGGCTGTATAATGGGCCTGCTTCATGTTTTCCATCACAGCTGCCTTAAAGTTTTCAAAAGTATTGTTTTTTATTCATTCATGCAATATAGGTTGCACATTTTTTATGTTTCTCCCACCTAGAACTCGAATGCTTGGTCAGCATCATCTCCTGCAAACCCTTCTCCATGTGATTCAGATCACTCTCAGCTACTTCCTTATGCTCATTTTTATGACTTACAATGCTTGGCTTTGCATCGCCGTTGTCCTTGGAGCGGGCGTCGGATACTTCATCTTTGGCTGGAGAAAATCTATAGTTGTAGATATCACAGAGCACTGTCACTGATGATCTGACTGTGGTGTAGGGTAAGTTTATGAATTAGATCACAGAATCATATATCATTGTATTCTTGTGAACATTCTGCTGCCTTTGGGACCAATCAAAGGTCACTGCATTATTATGGTGAATTACATGCCATACAGTGTTACATCACTGTCTCTCTCACTTTCTTCATCTGGAGGTCCCAGATCTCTCATGATTTGCTGAATGCAATGGAGTGGTCAAACCATGTTATCTGTTGCCTGATAGTTGAATGTAGTCCATTGTGTGATTTTGTTTAGTCATATGAACACCTTTGAGTGCTTTCCAGATGGGGATGATTTTGTTGGAAGATTGCATACTCAGTTTTTTTTAAATTTAAATTCAAATGAAATTTTCCTAAAAAGGAAAGAAATCAGTGGTCGTGTATTGATGACCATCCGAAGGCTGTTTTCTTGACTACATCTGTGTGCTTTCAGGATGACTGCTGTGGTAATGCACAAAGAGGGCATGACTTGCAGAGCAGAAATTTAACAGTATGAATTCCTGTGATCATATCCGTTTTGTTTTGATTGAGAACTGCCAAGATTAGAAGTGTGACATTAGGAAAATTGCACCCAGTTGCCTGTAGCCCAAGTTTATCTTGGCATCTGTATTTCCCCATTTGNCCCCCCCCCCCCCCCCCCCTCCCCCCGTCGCTACGTTACTGGTACACAGCACATGACCGCTCGAAAATGTTCATAGGTAGCTCATAAAAAATAGCATTCCTGGAAAACCTTTATTCCCCCCCCCAAAAAAAAATGGCGAAATATGCATAAATATGGACATATATACGTAAATATGCACCTACTGAGAAAAACTTAAAAAGATGCATTTTTATGCGTTTTTAAAATGGCAGAAATCGCCTCTTCTGCTAAGAATTCATGGTCCTACCTGGGTTGCATGTTCCTAGGAGATTGCAGAAAAATTTGCATTCGCATAAAAATTCGCTCCCTGATCACGGCATCTCGCAATGGCAGCCAGCATGAGGGCTGCAGTGCTTCGGAACGAGTAAACGGCGGGTCGAGAGTCGCTCTAAGGAGATGTTAAGCTGTCTGGCTGCTCAGGGGAAAGGGAAGGGAAACTATGAATGATGAGGAGAGAGAAGAAACGAGGGGGGAGAACAGTGGCGGTCCCTCGACGCCCTTTGACTCTTAACCCCGAAAAATCCTGTTTAGATAATAGAGTTTCAGGATGCGAACGCGAACAGAAAACGAGCATCTCGGCATCCGACTCGCAGAGGAAAGCGAGTTACCCGGAGTTACCGGATTTCCGGCCAGCAAAGAAAGGGGGGAGGGAGGGGAGGACGCTGATGATGATCATCGTGTTGATCACGATCATATCAGCGATCATGATGGAGGCACACATAAGGCTGGGGCGGCTTCGATGGTTTCGAAGCTCCTTCGGAGGGATTTTAAGGTCATTTTCTGTCATCTGATCGAGGCGGTAATTTAGTTCCTTCAGGAATTGAAGATTGACAAAGATACGGAATTTCGCTCTAACTTTTTTTTCCTTGTATGCTTGTATTACACGTGACAGTTTTTCACGCGCGACAAGGATGTAAGAATTGGAGAAAAAAAAGTAAAAACGTAACGGGCGTCGTATTCTGCAACCGTGAAATATCAGAATTTTCGAAATTCGACTATTAAAGAAAGGTAATCTTTTTTTGTTGAAAAAATGATGTCGACAATTGGAAGATAAATCACAACGGTAATTGCACCACCACCCGAAGGTAATGTCTTGAACAATTACCAACTCCGAACTAAGCGGTCCTTTTCGACCCGATCGCGTTGATCAATTCTAAACCATAGAAATGCTGTCCAATTCCAAGAACTAGCCCAGCATACCTCTCAGCATTTAAAGGAACAACAGCAAAAAAATCTTTCGAATGAGACCTCCATTAATAAATCGATTCGTCTTCCAACCTCGCACAACTCAAAAGAAATGTCTTGTGCGTCACGACCAGGTCGTATTCCAAATTTTCGTCGGGGCATCTGTTGCGAAAACTGTGTCACCTCCCCTATTTTCAAGTCGCCAGTCATGCTCTCAGAAGCGTTCTGCAACGTTAGCAACAGAATAATGGCGGATAACGGGATGAACAGTACGAAATCCACGAAAACGACTCCTCAGACGACAGATGGGCGGAGCTTATTCGTGACGTAGTTGATGACGCATTCCAGTTCCCGCCCTGGGATTGGAGGATCCTCCTCTTTCATACCTGGTCCGGTACCTTTCATACCTCTTTCATACCCGGTGGTGGGTCGAGACGCACTTGCTTTCCGATGTGGACTTGAGTGTCCCAAGCCTCTAGACGTTCGATCACTCGGAGCAGGAATTCCACGAGGTGCCGGTGGGGCAATCGTTGCACGTTTCAGCGGTTCAAATTATTTGCTACATTGCACGCTACATCATGCCCTGATGCGACAAAATATAGCATATCTCTTATGGAGATTCCAGCCTCAAATAATATTTCAAAGACTAGAGGATGCACCAGTGCTGCGTGGCTGCTCAGGGGAAAGGGAAGGGAAACTATGAATGATGAGGAGAGAGAAGAAACGAGGGGGGAGAACAGTGGCGGTCCCTCGACGCCCTTTGACTCTTAACCCCGAAAAATCCTGTTTAGATAATAGAGTTTCAGGATGCGAACGCGAACAGAAAACGAGCATCTCGGCATCCGACTCGCAGAGGAAAGCGAGTTACCCGGAGTTACCGGATTTCCGGCCAGCAAAGAAAGGGGGGAGGGAGGGGAGGACGCTGATGATGATCATCGTGTTGATCACGATCATATCAGCGATCATGATGGAGGCACACATAAGGCTGGGGCGGCTTCGATGGTTTCGAAGCTCCTTCGGAGGGATTTTAAGGTCATTTTCTGTCATCTGATCGAGGCGGTAATTTAGTTCCTTCAGGAATTGAAGATTGACAAAGATACGGAATTTCGCTCTAACTTTTTTTTCCTTGTATGCTTGTATTACACGTGACAGTTTTTCACGCGCGACAAGGATGTAAGAATTGGAGAAAAAAAAGTAAAAACGTAACGGGCGTCGTATTCTGCAACCGTGAAATATCAGAATTTTCGAAATTCGACTATTAAAGAAAGGTAATCTTTTTTTGTTGAAAAAATGATGTCGACAATTGGAAGATAAATCACAACGGTAATTGCACCACCACCCGAAGGTAATGTCTTGAACAATTACCAACTCCGAACTAAGCGGTCCTTTTCGACCCGATCGCGTTGATCAATTCTAAACCATAGAAATGCTGTCCAATTCCAAGAACTAGCCCAGCATACCTCTCAGCATTTAAAGGAACAACAGCAAAAAAATCTTTCGAATGAGACCTCCATTAATAAATCGATTCGTCTTCCAACCTCGCACAACTCAAAAGAAATGTCTTGTGCGTCACGACCAGGTCGTATTCCAAATTTTCGTCGGGGCATCTGTTGCGAAAACTGTGTCACCTCCCCTATTTTCAAGTCGCCAGTCATGCTCTCAGAAGCGTTCTGCAACGTTAGCAACAGAATAATGGCGGATAACGGGATGAACAGTACGAAATCCACGAAAACGACTCCTCAGACGACAGATGGGCGGAGCTTATTCGTGACGTAGTTGATGACGCATTCCAGTTCCCGCCCTGGGATTGGAGGATCCTCCTCTTTCATACCTGGTCCGGTACCTTTCATACCTCTTTCATACCCGGTGGTGGGTCGAGACGCACTTGCTTTCCGATGTGGACTTGAGTGTCCCAAGCCTCTAGACGTTCGATCACTCGGAGCAGGAATTCCACGAGGTGCCGGTGGGGCAATCGTTGCACGTTTCAGCGGTTCAAATTATTTGCTACATTGCACGCTACATCATGCCCTGATGCGACAAAATATAGCATATCTCTTATGGAGATTCCAGCCTCAAATAATATTTCAAAGACTAGAGGATGCACCAGTGCTGCGTGGCTAGTATATGAGCTACTCTCGCATCAACACCTG